ATTATTATTACATAATGTGTGTCCTAACAAGAAGATTCCTCCGCCTATGCTCGAGAATCCGGCACCTCGTTTTTCGTCGACGTTATAAGCCTAAACTCGTCGTGAAGAAGCTGAAATACTATTCCAAGATTCACCTCAGAAGAAAACCGAAAAAAATCGACGGTGGAGTTCGTTGTCAAAACGTCGAAACTAGTCAACCTATTCGCCTCGCCACTTTCAACGCAGCGTTGTTTTCTCTCGCGCCAGCTGTCCCGAAAGCCGAGAAATCGGTTGTTTTAGTTCAAGAAAACAATCCCCCTAAAAAAGGGATACTAAAGCAATCCCCACTCCATATTAATCACACCACGGAAAACGAGACTAAGTCGAAGCCGAAAGTCTCGATAAACCTCCCGGAGAACGAGATCTCGTTATCCCGCAATAGGGTTTTGCGAGTCGTGCAAGATTCTTGCAATATTAATAAAACTCCGAGTTTCAATAGTTCGGCTCCGAATAATCCGATGAGGTCTCCAATATGCTTCCCTTCAAGCATGGCTAATTGGCTCAACTGCGCTAATCTATGTGGCGTTAGAACGATTTTTGACGTTCTAAAAGAAGTCGACGCCGATATATTGGCTTTGCAAGATGTTAAGGCAGACGAAGAAAACGAGATGAAACCCTTATCGGATTTAGCTCGAGCTTTAGGTATGTATTACGTGTTTGCCGAGAGCTGGGCTCCGGAGTACGGCAATGCAGTTCTCTCCAAATGGCCTATCAAGAAATCGAAAATTCAGAAAATATACGACGAAAAAGATTTCAGGTTTTTTTTTTTTGGTTATATTGTATTAAAAAATAATGTGGCCTCGCATAATATAATATCGTGTGTGTTTTATTCTTCGACAGGAATGTGATTAAGGCTACTATAGACGTGCCGTTAAACGGGGAGTTGAATTTTTACAGCACGCAACTCGATCACTTGGACGAAAATTGGAGGATTAAGCAAATTAACGCTATGATCGAATCGGACGGTGAGCATCATATCTTGGCCGGTGGGCTCAACGCTCTTGATTCGTCGGATTATTCGTTGGAGAGATGGAATCATATTGTGAAGGTTTCGATTTTTATTATTATTATTAAATTTTTGTTTTTTTTTTCGACGAATAATTTAATTTTTATCATTTTTTTTAGTACTATGAGGAATTAGGAAAGCCCACTCCAAAAGTTGAAGTGACAAATTTATTAAAGGGAAGAGGATATATTGATGCTAAAGATTTTCCAGGGGAATGTGAGCCTGTAGTCATGATAGCCAAAGGCCAAAGTAACAAGATTTTTTTTTAAATATTTTTTAAAATATTTATACATATATTATTTAATTTTTCAAGAATTTTTTTTTTTCTTTTTTTTTTGAATATTATTTGGTGCATTTTTGGGAGCAGATGTACAGGGGACATGCAAATACGGGACGCGGGTCGATTATATTTTGGGGTCGTCGGATTTGCCGTATGCGTTTGTGCCCGGGTCGTATTCGGTTATTTCTTCTAAAGGGACTTCGGATCATCATATAGTAAAAGTTGATGTTGTGAGGATAGCAGATTTTGGTAGTGAGAATAGTAAAAAACAGAGGAAGTTGAGACAGAGAGTTTTAAGTATGATGAATTCTTGTTCTTTGAGAAGTGTTTGTGAAATGTAGTTCTTGAAATTTGTGTGTGGTATTATTTTGGTGTAAGTTATGGTCAAATTACGAAAACTCCTATCCTGTTTGGTAATTATAGTCAACCTCTCAACTGTGCATTATCTTACAAAAAAACCTCTCCAAAGGTAAATTTAGGAATGTTAAATCGGTAAAACCGAACTGAAATTTCGGTGCGCCAACATTTCATACCGTTTACCAAAATGAATATACAATTTGGTTCGGTTAATAACCGAATTACATAAATTTTATGTAAACATATTTAAACTGTAATTACCCAAACAATAGGGGTTTTTTCGTAATTTGGCCATACATTAGAGGTGTGCCCGTAATTTGCCCGATTATTTATAATTATATATACTAGCATTTTTTCACGTGCGATGCATGGGATATTATTTCAAAAGTAAAAAAATAAATAATCAATTTAATACATAATAAGAAAATATAGTACACTAACATTAAAAAATTTAATAATGTAGTATTATTCATATTTTATATAACATTATTTTTTTAAATCTTACATATTAAGATTTATAATCCAAATATATAGATTTAGATTTAACAAATCGAATTTCTATCTTTATATCTTAAGGTTTGAGATGTATTGATAAAAAATAGGAGATTAATAATTGTTGAAAATTAGTAAAGAAAAAATAATAAAAAAAAAATAATTAAAAAATATCATTAGGGTTTTTTAGGGTTTCTTTGTTTTATATATAAGATCACAAATTCTTCTTAATTCAATGGAAAGAATCACAAACAAATCCCTCAACCCCTTATTTACTCTCAAAGCCAAAACAATCAACCAATATATCTCACACACACACACACACACTTGCACACAATTTAAAAACATGTACTTATAACTTATAAGGCCTTAAGCAGAAGTAGAAGGCGGGGGTAAGTTGATCCCTTGGCTACGAGGGGTACCCTATGCCGTGTCGTTTTATTAGGAAAAAAGACAAATACCGATCCC